GTACCTGCCACCCCAGTGCCTGCTACACCCGCGCCCGATACACCTGCACCGGATACTCCAGCGCCCGATACACCCGCGCCCGATACACCCGCGCCCGATACACCCGCACCGGATACTCCAGCACCGGATACTCCAGCGCCCGATACTCCAGCACCCGATACTCCAGCACCTGATACACCAGCACCAGACACACCTGCGCCGGCTGCGGCCCCAGTTGCTGCACCGGTTGCGGGCCCAACTGCTGCAGACACCACCTCAATGCCATCTACAGCAATGGATCCTCTAAGAGTAGTTGTGGAGGATAGTTTTCTGGAGTACGGGTTCTTTGAAGGAATTGACCTGCGAGAGCCAACGCAAGAAGAGCTGGATGGTCTTTATGAACAAACAAACCTTTTCTTCACCGACGTCATGAGGGCTCAGTACGGCGATAGCTTTGTTTCTTTTGCGGCAGAGAATAACGTTTATTCGTGGCAGGGTGCGGAAGACAATTACCCTGTCTATGTTAACTTTGATGCGGTTGTAAACTTTGCAGAGGGTACTGACCCTGTTCCCACTCGAGCTGAAATCTTCACCGTCATGCAGAACTCCGATTTGAATGAATTTATCCAAGACTATGTCTGGAATGCCACCCCAGTGATGACCAGTCTCTTTTACGATACACAGCGAACCAGATATGACGCAAGAATTATGGGGCGGCAACGGCGAAACAGACGAAAGCGATAAAGAGCTTGGGAATCGGATCGCCGGTTGGGGCCACTTTGCAAGAATTTGGGATGAGGCTATCGGTGTATGTAAGGAAGCAAATGTGGGGATATCTTAGGGGAGCAGCTTGTAAATTAAATCATGGTGACTAGTACAACATAGAAACTCAAATTTCGGCCTCAGAACGTTCCTCTTGTCTCGTGAAAATTAAGCAAGCCGACCGCCGGCATGATGTATGCATACCGCCCTCCCGGTACAGGTACAACATTGGGATTGTCCTCGGAGTTTCTCAAGCACTTGGAATTCCGAAAGACCTTCATTTTGGTAGTAAACGTTGTTTCAATAGCTGTATAGTAATAATGTGGATGGATAACACCGGTAGCCACAGCGCAGCAAGTTATCCAGCCCAACCATTGATTGATTCCTTCCCATCATGTCTTTCTCGAGCACAGTTTCCACGGTCCGTGTGGCCAAACGTGGAATTGTGAGAACATCATTCCTTGACGCCGGCAGGATGGAGCACCTCGAGTCGGCTACGGTAATTAGGCGGAGCAGAACTAAGTCGAAATAAGGGTATCGATTCAGCCGTTGAGTGGCATCATCAAATTGTGAGCTCACGCGTTGCCCTCGACAAAAAAGCCAAGCTAACTCCATCCACCACCGTTTGTGTTGTGTTGGCAATGGACAAAGAAGAACGACCATGCTGCAACTAACCAAAACAACGGCGTTGCTGCTGATATTGTTCTTCACAAGTCAGATCAGAAGGGGTACGGGACATTCACTGAGTGTGGGAGCAGCAACAGCGCCTGAGGAAATTGAGGAGAATTTTGTCCTCAGCGAGTATATTGAAGATGAAGACACTGATGCACGAGACGATTTTGAACCCGACAACTCAGATGAAGATGAGGAAGAATCGAGTGATAATGATGATGAGACTGAGGATGAGACTGATCCAGAACCAACATACGTTAGAAAAGCCTTGAGGCAGAGAACAAGACCTCGAAGAGGCGACAAAGATAGCGCGCGAGGCTCGAGGGATACCAGGGAGCTGAAAGGGAAGGGGAAAGGAGGAGGGTACAGTAGCGGAAGATCCTTTAGCCGTAGCTTTCTTGATCCAGATATTGAGCCCAAGCCTTTCATTAACTGCATTCCAATACCACCTGACTTCTCCAGAAGCAATCGGGGTAGCAAGAGCAAGGGAGGCAAAGGCAAAGGAGGCAAGGGAAAAGGAAACCGGCGGAACGGGAGAAGGCACAGGAGCAAAAGACGAAACTTGAAAGGTAGAGACTTAAAAGGAGGCGGAAGAAGCAGCAGCAGCAGCAGCCGTAGCGGACGAAACCGCATGAATGGCCGAAACAACGGTGGAAAGGGAGGAGGAAGAGGGAGGAACAAAAAGCTACCGTACTGCCCACTTCCTACATTCCCTCCAACCTTTTTGCCTTCTCAAACTCCCATTCCGACGTTCACCCCTTTGCCAACGGTAACGCCATTCCCAACGTTTACCCCATTCCCAACAGAGTTCGTGTCTGTTGCTCCAACGGTGCCACCTTCCAGCCAACCTACCATTGCCCCGTCAGTGTCAAGTCGCCCTTCGCAACAGCCTACCCGCTCCAATGCACCATCGCTTTCCGCTGTACCCAGTGGTGGACCCGTCACGAGCGCACCCACTTCTAGTACTTCAGCACCTACTCCCACAGGAGCAACCACCCGACTTATCGCTTCGCGACTTGGCTACAGCTTTTTTGCTGGGACAACAATTCGGGCCCCGACCACCGAGGAACTGAATGGATTGGTCACGGCAACAAATAATTTCTTTGATGCCCAGCTTCAATTGTCATATCCCAACTCCTATGTTCCTGGCAGTGCTTCCATGACCAATATCGCTCAGACGTTTGATGCGAATGCGGCAATGTATCCCGTAATCTTGGATTATGATCTCACAACATCCTTCACAACCAGCAGTGCCAACACCCCAACAGCAGCACAGATCTTTGCCGAAATGGAAACATATCCTTTCACAACATACATTGAGCAGTATGTGTGGAATGCTGAGCCACAGGGGACGAGCTTGTTCTTCGATACAGAAATGGTGGTATTCCGAGCCAGGAGTCAAGCGGTTAGGTGAAACAATGTCACGGAGCACTGTCAAGATTTGAACCCCACGGGAAGCGCAAGTATTCAAGTAGTTGCCTGGGTGGCTGAGAATACTAAAAGCGTCGAAGGAAAGTGGGACATTTTGGTGCGTTTCGACCAGAGACAATGGTCGATGAGCAAACTGAACTCTGCACTGTGAAGAGAGACGCCCCAAGGTTGTTTCAGCACCTGAGTCCAAGGACCCCCACAGCAGGAGAAATCAAGCACACGCGCACCTACAAATCATTCAGGGGCGGGGAACCAGCATGTATATCCAGTTTTAATTAATTAAGCTAAGATGGGAGATAAAGCAGCAGCATATTTTAGAAACCACACTTTTTGATGCAGACTTTGTATTACGCCTCTAATCTATTAAGTTTCATCAACACAACCTCAGCTTGTTTTTACTCTACTTGAAGCCGTCTATCACGCCTTTTGTTTTTGATAAGGTGTCTCTAGCTAGTGCTAGTCTTTTGCTGCTGTACACTTTATGCATCGGTCTTCTGCTTCTATGAATTCATCCGTGTCTCTAATAAACTCTCGTTACATGTCGAGCCCAACAAAAAACAAGCTGCCACGCAATTCTGTTTAGGCCATCTCCTTGACACTCTGTCCAATAATCTCGAGGCATTGATTAATCTCTTCTTCTGTAATGACCAGTGGTGGTGCAAACCGAATAATGTTTCCATGAGTTGGCTTTGCCAAGAGACCATGTTCTTTCATTTTCAAACAGAGATCCCATGCTTTTCCCTTGTCACCATATCCCGCCTTGGGCTGATTGATGACAATGGCACAAAGCAGACCTCTTCCTCGAACCTCATCAATGATGGTGTGATCGACCATATTATTCAGTCCATCCCGCAGCTGCTGTCCTCGAGCCTGAGAATTCTCGCACAGTTTCTCTTCTCGAAGCACTTCCAGAGCAGCCTTTGCCACTTTGCAGGCCAAGGGGTTTCCACCGTAAGTGCTGCCGTGTTCACCTGGTTTGAGAGTGAGCATGACTTCATCCGTGGCCAAGACTGCTGAAACAGGAAGGACGCCACCGGACAATGCCTACTCAGCCATGCACAAAACAAAACAAATGCAAAGCGGAGGAGATGAGGTACAGCTATCTTTTTGCATGCCAACCATTTAATTTCTCTGCTGCATTGCCCAGAGGCACATACTACTAGTACTGTACATACCTTTCCAAGGACCACAATATCTGGCTTGCATTCATCGTGATGCACCGCCAATTCATATCCAGTTCGTCCCAAGCCCGTCTGTACTTCATCGGCAATCAACAGTACATTATGTTTTTCACATACTTTCTTGACTTCTCTCATGTACCCATCATCCGGGACGACCACTCCAGCTTCTCCTTGAATGGGTTCCACCATGAATGCGGCAATATGCTCTCCATCCTTGTCCAATTCCATATCCAGCATATCGACATCTCCATAGGGAATGGACGAGAACCCTGGCATGTAGGGACCAAAGTTTTTGAATGCCGATGGATCATTGGACGACGAAATGGCCGCCAACGTCCGTCCCCAGAAATTGTTGTTGGCAAACAAGATTCGTGCCTTGTTTTTGGGAATGTCCTTGACTTCGTATCCCCACCGTCGTGCCAACTTGACGGCGGTTTCGCCTCCTTCGACGCCCGTGTTCATGGGCAAAACTCTGTCATAGTTGAAGTATCGCGTGACAAATTCGGAATATTCTCCCAAGCAATCATTGTAAAAGGCTCGACTGGTCAGTGTCAAAGTCGACGCTTGTTCTGTCAGGGCACCAATGATTTTGGGATGGCAATGACCTTGGTTGACCGCCGAGTAGGCCGAAAGAAAATCAAAATACTCCTTGCCATCCACATCGGTGACTTTGGTTCCCTTGCCTTTGGACAGAATTACCGGAAGGGGAGCGTAGTTGTGAGCTCCATACTTTTCCTCGAGAGCAATGCACTCTTCCGCCGTCAAAGCAGTCTTGGGGACAGAAGCCGAGTAACTGCGAGCAAACGCAGTCTGGATAACTCGTTGTTGTTGTTTGGAAGCTAGAGACCGGATCATTGTTGTGTTTGTTATGCGAAATGTGATGTTTCCGTGATGTGATGGCTATTTTTGATGGCGTTTGATACTCCAACTAACTGGATAACCAGCCAATAGAATAGAACGAGGACCTCTTGACTAACTACTATCTTCGCTTTGAGCAATAGTTTTGTGAGCTATCCGTTTGGCGGCAGATTCGATTGGATTCATTGATGGCATCATTGAAGGAACTGACTGATCTTCCACTCGGAAGATAGGAGCTGACGTATGCGACTGGACAGCTCGTGATCAAACCTTCCGAGAATGAGACTCATAACCTTCTGAACAAGGCGTCCAAACTTTGATGCGTGATCGGCACGCGCACAGGCTACGAACGGTCCAACAGCGAGAATATTCTCAATCTTCCCATGTTCCGTACCACTTGGGTCGCTCGTGAAAAACGAAACAAAACCAGCTTGTACAAGGAGTAAAATTTCAATTTGTATGTAAAATTTAAACAAGTAAAATTCAAAATACCTTGATATTAAGAGTCTCCGTGACGTGCAAGATAGCTGCTTTGGACCTACCCTATCTATCTAGATCAACGACACAGTTACAAGTAGCCTTTGTCTACTAACATTTAGTCATACTAACACCTAATTGTACTGCTTCAGAGCTTGCTCCCAGCCTGGATTGCTCGAGATGTTCGAACTGGGAGCAAGCAACAAGCCGCAAGCACATTCGAGCATGTAATGGATGGCCCTGCGCTGGTTCTCTACTGGGGTGAGCTTCTTGTTCATCTTCTTGATATTTTGAGTTTCCGCGAAAGTAATATTGAACATTTGAGCCAGTAGTCGGGTTTGGGTCGCTAGATTTGCATGGAAATTGTCACTTTGAGGCGGCAGAGTCACACCCAAACCAACATACTGTTGCAGACTTTCAAAGAAGCCCCGCCTTCCACAACTAAAAGATGATGGATCCTTGTCTCCTTTCAAAGGGTAGCTCGTATAGAACTCAGATTTCCAGTGCTCTAGTGCTTGCAGCTCCGAGCCCTTTTTATGTTCCAAATTCCGGTCATACATATCCCTTTCATTGACCGAAGCCACCATCCCAGCTCGAACCCATTCTCTGCGATTGCTGTCCCAGTAGTAGTAAGCACCATCTTTTCTAATTCCCAAAGTAACGAGTTCAAAATGAGAAGGATCCGCTAGCAAACAATCCGCCGCACCAAAGCAATGCAAATCGTTCACTACCATACCGGCCATAGTAAAAAGAGCGGACGTATAACCTAACCTTTTGGCTTGGAAGCTCCAGCACCAGTTTGATACATTATGAGCTTTCACCCTTTGGCTTTCATTAACAAGCCAATCCAATCTTGTAGCCAGCATGCCTTGAAGGTGATCCGCCTTAACTTGCATCGCATGATTCGTTGTAGCATCCAAGCCAAAGAAATTATGGGCCAAACTTCTAAAAAATTCCATTTGCATCAAACTAGAAGCAAGAATAGATCTACTTGCGGCAAATCTGGATTGGGAAGATCGAACAATAGTTGCTCCAAGATGCCTCTGGGAAAGCTGCTCTTGCTGGGTGTTGGAGGTTGTATTACAGACACCTCAATACAAATTAGTCGTTTATCCCAATCTAGTTGATAGGGGATATCTATATCTATTCTCTAGTTACATACATGGGGAGTTTAACTGATCTATATGGTCACCCCCTTCACTATATCCTTTGAAGTTGAATCAATCCCAGAAAACATGGAGAAAGATCACTTCTTGGAAATAGCTTAACAGTAAAACCCTTTTGAACTTTACTAAGCTAGAGTGTTACTACCAACCAACACTATTTCCAAGAAGATCTACCTCTCGAAGTTCATCTCGAATTCGAGATATCGACCATGGGATATCGACATCCTATTACATGATATCCTCAAGCTATAAGGTACAGTCGTAACCAACATTGAGACAAGGTTCAGGCAGAAAGGGCTCTAGCCTCACTGAGAGAGCTATCCCAACAGCCTTGCAGGAAAAAGGCAACATAGCTACACCGAATCACGAATTTCCCATTTGAGCTACGGAGCGATTGACCAATCGACTTCCAGTCCGGAACAGACTGATCTGAACATACCACGTGAAAGATCATCACTAACTACACCATTCCATTGCTTGAACGAAGCGTATCCAACAGAAACTGATTGAGTTACGAGTAAACGATTGAAGCTTCCAGGAGTGAGCTCCGGACAAGGAAGCAAGCTCACGGGAGTGAGCCAGAAGCGAACTCACAGGAGTGAGTGATCAACCGAAGGAAGCTAGCTCACAGGAGCCATCCGGAAGCAAGCTCACAGGAGTGAGCTGAAAGCAAAGCAAGCCCTCAGGAGTGAGCGAACGGCAAGACCTTGCGCTGCGCAACACAGCCAGCCATCGTATGACTGGAGATACACTATCCCAGTACTGATACGGAAAACAACTACTAAACGAAGAAGACTCACAGGAGTGGGAGCCAAGCTAGCTAGCTAGCTACCACGACGAATCCAAGAAAACCAAGAAGGCTTCTGGTGAGACGAACCAGAGCCAAGGCTACTGTACTGTACCTAACCGTACGAAGCACAGCCTACAAGAGCGACACCAGGAGTGTCGACCGAAGAGTGCAACACCAGAGGTGTTACCACTGCAGACGAACGAGATAACAAACTCCAACAGGAATTACCACAGAGGTACTTCCGTGGGAGTTCCTCCAGCCTCACTATCAAGCCATCGAAACAGTGCCGATAAAGAAGAGGTGCAAACCTTTTTGCGGCACGAAACAAGCCAAATTACCAGGCCGATTACTCGACAACGACAGGTCCTACGGAAGGACTGTCATACACAGAAGTGGGCTATTATACTGTCACTGACAGGCCCTCAGGAGTGCAAGCACTCGAATCGACCTCAGAGCGAGTTGCATCCATCGGCAACAGGCTGGATAAGAGCGAATTTGCGAATTTTGCAATTCAAACAGCCAAGAACAAGAGTAATAGCCGGTTAACAAGCGATCGTACGACGCGACCACTGCAAGCATCAACAAGAACGGTGGCGACTACTACTAGCTCGACAGTCGGTGCTACCACTGCAACAACAAGAACAGCGACTGCTGCTACTAGCAAGTCGCTACCGCTACTGTTGAAGCCATCGGTCGTTGATACCGATAGCGACAACAGCGACACCAAGGAGAGTTGGCAGCAGAAGAAGTGTGCCGACAGCAGAAAGCAAATCTTTGTTTTTTGTGAGGAAATCGCTGACAGCAATGCATCAGTTCCACGGAACGGCAAAGAACAGCCGACAGTTCAGCGAACGGCAGCCACAAGCCGCTGAATGTCACAACGAAAAAGGTATCTTCCGTGATATCTTTCCAGGAGTGTACGGAACCAACAAGAGGATTTTCCGTGGAAGATCCAAGCAAGCAGCCATGCACCGGTACCTGTACCCGAGCATGCACAGTGCTAGCTCCCGGTAATAGCTAGCGCTAGAACCAGCACAAGAGCTTCAAGCTTGCAAGCTACAGGAAGCACAGGAGTGCTTCCACCAGCATCAAATAATTTCTTTGGAGTGTGTATTGAGTCTACACTCAGCACCTCCTACTCCCCTTTCCATGGAGTGTGTATTGTGGCATCCCAGCCACAGCACCTCCTACTACCTTTTATGGAAAGTGTATTGTGCAACTGAAACACAGCACTTCCTCCAATGATTACAGGCAAACCTGAGGCAACAACAGCCTCTAGGTAGGCAACAACAGATACCATTACAAGACCATGCCCTTGCTATTTGATCACAGCAAGTGCACAGGAGTGTGAGGGTACCCAAATCCAAACCTACAATCCTACAAACAAAATCATCATAACATCCGCCTTTGTAGGCAATGCCGTAACCATCAATGGCTACAACAACAGCCAACATCAATGGCAACAACAGCCAACAACAGCATCTACCACTACCAAACCGATTACAATGAATTGACCAAACCAAATTCGAATTGCATCTACAATAACGGCAACTGCAACAACAGCAGAACAACAGTGAACGTTGAACCGAGTAGCTAGCTACAAGCGACTCAAGAGTTCACAAGACAAGGAACCACGCCACAGGATGGCAGGAGCAGACAGAGTTTGACCTACAAGCGGGAACCTGATCAAAAGAAACAACAAGAGGGTGCACACCTCAGCTCCACTGCAACTACTGTACAGAGATTGCAACCAACCGTAGTCTCACACCAACAGAAGTACATGAGTACAACAAATCAAGCCTACAGTAGATACAACTACGAACAACTACTGCCACAGCCATCTCACAGGAGTGTAAGAGCAGTGACATCACCAACCAAAGGATCGACCGACTATATCACCATCGAAATATCATCGACCGTGACACATCGAGGTCCAGTGGAGCCCAGCCATCAAGTTGGAGCATCCACATCTACTACCGAATACTTCCTTACAAGTATCCAAACTTCCAAGGGCTTCCAGCCCCAACTCAAAGTATCATTGTGGCAAGGAACTTCCTCCTAGTTCCAGCTACTACAACAGTTCTCACCAAGTGTTGCTATAGCCTGACTTGCCAGTCTCACTACGGCAACACCAATGCAGGTACAAGTGTCAAGTGACGGCACAGTCACAAAATGACGACACCAGCAGTCACGAGTCTCATGAGTATAAACAACCATGACAAGAGAAAAATAACTCAACCATTTCCTCATTCCTCTTCAGCTAACGAGACCATCAAGAACTAGGTTCAGTCAACCCAACAAGTCCGTGACTTCCAAGCTACATCATTTCAGCTTCCATGCACCTTCAAATAGGGCATCACTTCCACAAGTCTACACTTCCAGAGCTTCAACCAGCTTCCATCTAAGAAGGGCTTCCAGCCCATCAAGTGTCAATGAGCCGACTCTCAGTGTACCGCAGGTACACCAAGTGACGGTTTCATCCACACCGAGCTTCCAGGAGTGGCATCACTCTCAGAGAGTGCCAGCCACAAAGACTTTTCCGATGAGACAATGTCGTATTGTCTCGTCTCCACCGCTCAGCTCTCGCCACAGCGATGCCGAGCAACTACTTCCAAGGTTTTTTTGGACTCATTGCAAGCCAGTCGGACACGACGACGTGAGACTTGGATTACAAGCCTTTCCAGGTAGGAGCCTGCTTACCCAAGCACGATAGACACTTTGAGTGCTACTTCGATTCTCAGGAATCCTAGAGGCACCGCTCAAGCTCCACAGCAATCCCAAGTTGCATCCAATGTCCAAACAACCAAGCCAGCTTTGGCTACAACAAGTACAAGTCCTGCCACAGCTAGCTCACAGAGTGTGCCAAACAGTGACAGCAGGAGTGGTATTGATAAAGTTGTACCCACCAAAACAAAAGTCTCAAACCTTCTTCAACCTTCCTTTGAATTTTCCGATTCGATCTATCCCAGATTGAAACCAGATCGACTGACAAGAAACGATCATGCCAGATCGAATGACAGAAGCGATCGATTCACAAGCAGGACCACGATGATCGATTCAGTTTGACTTCGGGATCGACTCAGAAGTCATCATGAGATTGCAAGTGGGACCACAGAAGCCTATAAAGGCAGAGCAAACTTACTCAAGCAAGGGTAGCCAAACACCAGTGCTACCGGGATATTTCTGCAGAGGATTCCCACGTTCCACAGGAACAGTTCACCATGGAACCAGCTCAAAGCAAGCAACAGTTCGACGAACGCCACAAGTTGCCAGCACCCTACAAGAGGTGCAAAAAAGGCCACATCAAGCAAGCACATTCATGATACAACAAGTCACAGCCATCGATTCCAAAGAAGAGGAGGCCGTGATGAAGGAAGAAACTTCCCCAGCTGGGAAGAGAGGATTCCATTCCTCTGGAAAGACAACAGCAGGACATCCACACTTCTTGGACATCCACAAGAAGAGACAGCTCACTTCCATTCCAATGGACAACAGCTGACTCCAGATAGCTCCAAGCTATGCACAGACTCATGCTCACCTGATTTCCAAATCCAGTATCAACCTGAATGGATTGATGTTCCACATCATGGCGATGAGACATGGCATATGTCCAGTTCAGTCTACACGCAGTCAAGAGCACAGTTGAGTCTACGAGAATGCAGCCGGAACTTCTAGTTTCCAGCTACAGCATTACCAAGTGACCGGAACTTCCAGTCCACGGTTCAACAGTATCGGAACTTCCCAGTTCGAATACAGCAACATCAATTGACGGCACCAACCGCCACAAGCAAGTCATAAAGGAGTGGCAACACTCAAGGAGTGATGGCCACAGTGCTTTTCATACGACACTGTCCACATGTCACATTGACTGTGACAGATTGTCAGCACTGCTATGGAGGACAAGCTTCTCGCCACCAAACGGAATGCCGAGCAACCTAGCAAATGGTCTCTCGACCAACAACTGTCCTTATGGAGCAACCATCATTACATTAATTATTCGTTCAACGGTACCTTTATGGAATGCAGGAGTGTGTTGGAGTTGTATTACAGACACCTAATACAAATTATCGTTTTTCCCAATCTAGTTGATAGGGATATCTAATCTATTCTCTAGTTACATACATGGGGAGTTTAACTGATCAATGGTCACCCCCTTCACTATATCCTTTGAAGTTGAATCAATCCCAGAAAACATGGAGAAAGATCACTTCTTGGAAATAGCTTAACAGTAAAACCCTTTTGAACTTTACTAAGCTAGAGTGTTACTACCAACCAACACTGGGAGCTGCCGGTAGTATTTTGCTTTGGTTTCTGTAGGAGCACAGGTTTGGCTTTACAATCATCAGCCATCTTTATAAGACAGTGTGTAGTATCTCCCTTAGAAATATCAATGAATTTGCCATTCTTTGGCGGCCAATCTTGGGCTACATCTCTTGGCCAATCTGCTGTTTTCTGGACAGAAGGGAAGCACCGAACATGAACAAAAGCAAGCTTGGAGTTCAGACTTAGTTGGCTCATCAAATACAGCCATTGGTGCCTGAGTGAGCAACAGATTCTTTGGTTGCAAGACCTTATTGAGCTTTTGCTCGCATGCCTTATTACTTGCCATAAGATTCTCATATTTAGTCATTTCCTTTTTGGACTGCTGGTCAAGTTTTGATTGAGCCTGCAGAGTCTTTGCCGCTCTAAGGCCAATCTGATATTTATGATCTAGCACTTTTGTTCGCTGGCGCCATTCTTGACTAATGCCCTGGTGCTTTGGTACATCTTATCCTGTGGAATCCTTGTCCATAGGAAAACCCATATCATCAAATACCGTCTCATTGATATGGCCATGCTGGATCACTTCTGTCATCAATTTAGGGAACAGAGTTTTGAAGTTGTCCACATCTTCCGTAGGCATTTGTTTGCTACAGGTGGCTATCAGACCATTGATACATGGAAAGGCACATTCAGCAGTTCTATTTGCCCGGGAAATCATTCCATTTTCATAGAAGCCGGCAGCAATATTCTCTGATGTTGATACCTTTGTTTGAACAGCAGGTTGTTTGGTAATATAATCAATCAAGGCATTGACCTTTCGGGAGGGAAGGTTGAGCCCATGATCATTTTCAGCCTCCTCAAAAGTATTGCAGACGCTCCGTTTGAACGGAAAGGCAGCAGATGCTATATGTTTATTGGTAAGTGTTTTCCCGTAGGCTTTCTCATTGCGGAACTTTGGACTTAAGTCGGCTGCTTGTTCCGTAGCCGTTCGAGCAGCGGACTGTTTGCAGGCGTGAACCTTTCGATCTCGATACTTTTTGAGAGTCTCTATTTCACCAATGGTGGCTAGTTGCGCCAGGTCTCCATCGCACCATGCGACGACTGTCAAATCATCGAGAATTGGTGTCCCCCTTTTCCAACCAAATTGAATTCGAATATCGTCAATCCAAGGTAGAAGACAGTCTTCAATGAAATGTCGGCACCGAACCTTATCTGTTTGTTTGTCATTGTCATTGCGTATGAACACCACATAGCCCGAATTCTCACGACCGACAGTAACTCCGCCACCGCCAATGCAGAGTCCAGCAATATCTAGAACTAGAACACGGTCGGGGCATTTGTCTTTCTGGAGCTCTCGCTCATTCAGTCCAGTGATTGTGATCCATATGGGCCCACATTGACCAGCAGCGGTCATTAGATTTGTTGATTTGACACGTTGTCCAGTGAAGGTAACTGGTGCTGGGCCGGTGTTGTAGATTGCTCTCACTCCAGTATTGGTATCATAACTTGAAAGTCCCGTGACAAACGCATCATCGGAAACATCGCTGTTCAAGCCCTCAATCGCATACTCTCCCGTATCGTCCATGGAAATGAGTAGTGCAGCAAGAATTGGTTGCAATGGTGAATTTTTGTTGCATTGACTGACCACATCATAACAAAAAATTTCGGATTCTGTAGCATTTTGCAAGAACCTAGAAATCGACGGAGTCAACGTTGCCACAACCCTGAACTGGGAGGAGCAAACTGCAGTCGCAAAGGCAGCGGTGGACCGCCAAGATAACTCGGCAGTCAGCCGGGTTTCTGTTTTGTGAACAGCCTTTTTGACAGAGCTATTCATTCCGGCAATAGCATTTGTGTACCTTTTGACCGTCTTTCGGCCAGGTGTAATAATAGATTCTCGTAGAGCAACTTGTCCATCTTTGGCAAGCTCGGCTCTTTTCTTCTCCAGCATTTTGTCCTTGACTTGACTTCTGCCAAATGCTCTCCTTGGTTGGGCTGCTATTTCCTGCACTATCTCGTTCACAGCTTATGGAGAAATAAAGGGAGACTTTCCCTTGTTAATGTGCCACCTATCATTGGGGAAGGTGTCGATAGTGCCCCCATTTTCCTCATGAAGCTCATACTTCTTCACCACCTTGTAGAGATTGGGTTTATTAATGGGCACAAGTTTCCGATCCACAATTTCCTTGATGACTTGGCTCCGTTGCCTGGTATTCTTCTTGTGAGATGTAATAACAGTCAAACATTCACATCGATCGTACATAATACCATTGGTTGGAGAGGGGGCATGAAACTCGGATGATCCATTGTGATTGTGGGTTTGGAGAGCTAATGATTTTCTCTTCTTTGGTGCATTGGGAGTAGTAGCTGCAGTAGTAGAAGTATCATCAACCGCAGCACTAACTTTCTCAAATGGAGTCAAAGGAAGCTGTTGTGCCATTGCGGGGGTGTTCACTTGGCTCACTTTGGCAATAATACTGAGTGACCGATCACCAAAGCCGGCAATGGGGGAGAGCTTCTTGAGGTTTTGGTTTATATTGGAAGATGTCTGCTTCAAATACTGACGAACGGTAGTAAGCTCCTCATTAGCTTTCCTCTTTTGAGCTCTAGAGGGCTGGCGAGTGTTGAGTACAGTTTGTACATCAGCTAATACTTTTTCTGCCTCTGCCACTTTTTTCTTTGTTTCAGATAGCTGTCCAAAAGACACTACACCAGCATCAATTTTAGTTGTTCTGTTCTTGGTCGGAGTGACAGCTGGGGCTCTTCCAGGCTTGCTGGGACGCATACCTGTAGGCATAACTCTATTGGTCCAACCAAATAGGGCGGTGAGGGGGGCAGAGGCTGGCTAGCCTGTTGGGGGAGCCAAAATTGCCAAAAAATGGCTGTCTAACTTTGCCAGTCGTCTGTTGCTGAAATGACCAACAAATGGGGAAGCCACTAGAACCACTGCGACGGGCACGTCCAAATTATATATCCCTATCTCAGGGTATTAATATGGTAGCTCTATTAGTTACTCTGGCAGGGTGGTTGTAGCTACAAGGTTGAGGAATCAAAGTCTGAGTTTTTTGAGGTCTGGAACAAGCAGTGGCAAAGCCATCAAGCAACTCTCGGGAGGAGAGAAAAAGCAAGCTCTGGAGCGGAGGGAAGTCAAAACGTCATTCAAAAAGAAAACGTCTTGAGAATTCCGGAGCGTTCCAGGGGTTCTGAAACTGATTCTCACTGTTGGGCCATTCTCGCTGTTGGACCATCTGTAGCAGGAGCAAAAGAAGAAAGATCTTTGGTTCCAGGTGGAAGATGTGAGGAGTTTTGCTCGCAATGACGTGTGCAATTTGTGACAACAACTTTTTAATTCTTTGATTGGCCCGTCGTGTGTCACAAGCAACCAGAAGTGAAAAGAAGCAGTGAAAAGTGCCGAGCCAAACGCCGCATTGGAAGTTGTTCTGTTGTTCTGGAGCTGACAAATACATCCTTGGGCGGCACTCCATTGGCATTCATTGTTGGACCCCAAATAAGTTGGTTGCAAGAGACAAATAGCTAGCTCATCACCATGACCATGTCATCCCGACAGATGCGCTTCCACTTTGACTGGGTGGATCATTGGGTGGAAGAGGAATCGGCGGAAAAATCCGCCAAAGACATTATGCACCGATCGGCCGGTCGCATGATGAGCATTCAGAATTTCTTTAACGACCTCTCGCTGTATCGATGGCTCAAAAAATCCACCAAGGGAAAGGTTGAATTGGCGCGTGTCGTCGTCTTTCACAGCGACTCGTTCGTCTTTGGTCTGCAAGCCGTCTATCGCGTTTATTACAGTTCGAGTAGTGAAATCCGAGAGGTTGCCGCCGAAAAGCACGTTTATGCGTCTGGCTTTTATGCACAGGGACGTCCTCCCATGGTGTCCACCTTGGAACTGGCGGCCGGGGAATTCATTATCGATGTGACTACGCGACAGGGAGAAGTAGTGGATCAAATCACCTTTATCACCAACCAACGAACGGTCCGATTTGGTGGTTGGGGTGGCATGGCACAACCGTACCAGTCGAATCATTTTGCCCGAGGCGTCATGAGCCGCGTGGTCGCATTTGCCGGAACCAAAGCCGGAGCACTCGAACGAGTGGGATTCTTCCTAGAGCCACTTAATTGGGAGGCCATTCGACCCATCGTCTTGACGCGGAGGTTGGTCGAAGAGAAACGAGCTTTGCCCGATAGAGTCAACTGTGAAAAGTGGACGCCACAAGAAACCAGTGTCCATGATTTCTTGACAAGAGCCAATGATGATATTTTCTTTCGAGTGGCCAGTTACCTCATTTATTCCACGAGAGGAGAAGCAACCAATCAACCCAATCAACATCGGTCCTAAGAAAACATGCTGTACTTGTACGCCAACAATTCACCATGGAACAGCAAAAATCCAATACATCTGGCTGTCCAACCTGCACAAACGAGACAAACCAGTGCAAACTACGGTACTCAGCTGAAGCTGGTGAACCATCCGCTATCATATAAGTCATTGAATATACCATGGCCGACCCAGTCATGGCATTATATAGCTTTTAAAACGAACATTGGCGTGAATAATCTTTCATTTTAGACACTTTAGAAGAATACTGTAGTTGGTGCTACTCTTCGCTTTCCTGTCCTGAAAGGTGCAGGGAACCTATTTATTCATCCGTCGCAACAATGATAATACTCGTCGCCTTCAACACGGCTATGGATTGATAACTTAGCGAAGTGCGGCTCATTCGCGATGACACCATACATCACTAACATTCCATCCAAAGGACTGCAACATGCAGCATAAGTAGCGTCAGCTACCCACACACTCAAGGCAAGAAACACCAAAGAGTCTTGGCAGTACAAAGCTCGCTGCTGTCAGCGAAAATAGGAACCAGCTTTTTCTGGCACCAAACTAGGCTGGTTTCGCTATCCTGTCTGTCAAATGTTTATAGGTCCCGGTAGCGCGGCGCCTGGAAAAATGCAAGGCCCCATAGAGAGGGTACGCTGGGATTGCCTGTTCCGTCATTTCCTCAGGGAGTGCAGGTTCGTCTGCGAGGAAAAACACCGCCACTGCGGTTAGACCGTGGTTCCAAGGAGGAGTCATGGTGTCGCTATTGCGACAGTGTTGTTTGCTCCGCGCACGAAGACGCATGCTGTGTTGTGCTTTCAGAGGTATTGAATTTGCTTCCACTGCAGATAGCTTTGTTTTTTCAAAAGATTCAAACGGTATGCATTGCAGCGGGAGCACGAAGCAGAGCTGCTGCTGTTCGTCTTTGATGTATGTTTCGAGAGCTGATTTTGCTGATTACATGAGTTGGCGGAGCTTATTCTTGTTTTCCATTCCGGGTTCATGGTTGAGACGTCACAGGATGGATAACCGGTGGTGCCCAAGCAAAAAGCTAAGCATTGCTGCACGCCGCCTCTTCGAATGCTCATGCTGTCATGAGTTGAGTTTTCCACTAGCTTCAAATGGGTTCCTTGCTCTTCTCAAGGGCAGCACGGCACATACCGGTCCTCCGGTGATGATTGTGATGGAGAAACGCTTCACCATTAATCTAGGTTGCAGCGTCTTACCAAAGGTGTTGTCTGCTGCTGCTCAAATTGAGACTGCTGCTGATTTCTTGGCGAATGTATCTACCCACAATCTTGGGCCAAAACAGCGGTATCAACACAGCCAGGGCAGCAACGGTGACCAACCAGCTTCCAATAACCATGAACGCAATCGTGTTGGCTTGCACCACCACCATAATGGGCAATCCAATGAGAATGGCCTCGACAATGATGCAGATTGTCACGGTCATGTAGAAGCTTTCATTGAAAACCGTCGGCAGGTTGCGACTCTTGAAACTCTGATATCCCGCCATTAAAAAGGCCAACAAGTTGACCAAGACCAGCAAGGAACCAAACACAATCCCTGCCTTGTTCTCCTGAAAAGTATAGCAGGTGCCCCGACTTTTGGTGGTCCGGCCAAAGACATCCTCTTCCAGAGTGATGCGATCCCAGTGAAGTGGCCCCACGAAGGTCCAAGCGACCAGCAGCGTGAGATTCAAACCAAAGACGAGCGCCGGGACCCAAACGACATCGGATGCCACGACCGCCAGACGACGAAAGGCTCGAGCACTGTGGACAACGCGACGTATTCGAAATGTCTTGCAAACCAGAGCGGAGAATGCCGTCGAGAATCCAATGGACAGTAGCCAGGTATGGAGCATGCATCCAACGTCCAGGACATGCCTCTGCATGGGCTCTTGCCACGTAAAGGGGATAATGGAAGATCCCAACAAGAAGGTACCCAGACAAAGCAGGACCAGGTAACTTGGTTGACTTGACTGTACAGCTGGTATCCGTCGCCTGAGCCAGCTCCAGCCAGCACAGAAAATGGACAAGAGCAGCACCAGTGCGGCCATACTCCAACACAAGGCTCTTACTCCATTGGGAACCAGATTCATGTCCTCTTCTACTGGCGCAATTGATTCGAGAGGCGTGGTAGACGCATCCGAGAACACGAATTCCGCCTTTTGACTTCCAAGAACAAACTGTTCCTTTTCTCTCCAGTACACACTGACGAGTTTCTTGGTCAACACACTCTCGTCATTATTGTTTGTTGTTGTTGTTGTTGTTGTTGTCAATCAGTATATTGAACAGAAAGCCCGCGAACGAATCTGCCCGTCGCGAGCAAGTTGTCGTGTTAAAGGCAACATGGTAGGAAGCCCCAAAGAATTCCACGTGCTTGAGTGTATCGTACAAGGATTGTGTGGTAAAGTCAGGTGTCTGGCACGCGGCAATCCCAAACGCCAAGACGGCATCGTAGGTGTTTAGGTCAATGTAGCTGGCCTTGAACGACGACCTGTTGAGGAGGGAATCGTACAGCGCGGTGCTATTATTGGCATTGCAACTGTTGGTAGTCCTGATGCTATCGTCATCAATTTGGTTGCACTCCAGTGCTCCTCCCCGCATCCGAGATTGTAGGTATCGTGTGGCGACGGGATCTTGTCGAAATTGCAATTTCCGACGATGCCATTGGGCAATGTGTCGCGCAATGGTGGGTTGTTCGGATTCCTTGGTGAACTGCAAGGCCACATAGGCGGATCCATTCATAGCCTTGTGGACATCCCCCTCGCGAGATTCTGGGTCGGAGACCGTCGTCAAGAGCCCCTCAATAACGCTTCCCACAAACATCCACATGGTGTTGGTACCCGGTCCCATCAACCCGGCATCGTAGAGTTGTAGAATGAGTTGATGGTCGGCGCAACCCACACAGTAATAATACACAAATTCTTTTGACTTTAGGAGCGCCACAACCTCTTTCATGGACTCTGGGTCCCCCGGAACATAACTGGCCGAAAAGACTCTTCCTAGATTGTGTTTTAGGATTCCCCGCTGAACGGATCTTCCAAATCCGGTTTGGGGATATAGAATGGCAAATTGTCGCACACCCCACAGCTTGGTGAGGACAAAGGTGACGAATTGACTGCCAATGTCTCCCGGTGTCACTTGTGTCCTGGCAAACCAGGGATAGCGAGTGCGATCGTCCAAGGAGGGTGTGGCCGAAGCGGGAGAAATGGAAATGAATCCCAAATTATCATCATCATCATCATTCGTAGTGGAGGAAGTTGTAACGGCGGCCAAAGTGGCCAACTGGGCCGAGATATGGCTGGACCACGGCCCCACAACCGCCATGGGTCGTTGGAACATCGTTTGGCTATCATTCATCATATTCTTATAAAAGGCATCTTGCCAGGCTTTGCCAGTCAAAAAGAAATCTCTGCCGCTGTCTCGAAAGGTCATGGTCATGTAAAAGTCACAATTCTTGGTCAACTCGTACGGACTTGTAGTACCACTTGCATTAGTATTATCGCCGACAAAGGGAAAGTGTCGACGATTGAAATCTTGCATGGCTAAAAAGGCCGTCACATCATTGTTCAAACCATAGGGTTTCCCATGTTCCGTCTGTGGAAACAGCGACAAGAGACTACCAATTCGAATGCTGCTGCCACTATTCGTGCTACCATCGGCGACTCGGTAGACTTGCGAGTTTCATATGCGTTCGGCCGATCCACCTTTCAGCGCAGTCTGAATTAGATCGTCATAGTGCGAGAAGCCACGATCCATTCTCTTCCCATCAGGGGCAGGTGGATCTCACAGGTCAACTTAAAATTCTTGAGAGCGCTTGGTCTTGTCTGGTCTTGTCTTGTCTTGTTGCCGTCGTTGTGGCCTTCATTCTTTTTCTTGGTCTTCTTTGAGGTTTGCAAACGCGGTTCGCATCCTACCAGTACTAGAGTACCGGTATCTGTGCAGGCACGCAATGTTTTCTTAAATCTTGCAACAAAATGTTCTTTAAAATGCTTCCAAACAGAAAGGGGGGATTTCGCAGGTTTTGGGGCCACCATGTCGGGTACAATTTCAACTTTAATGTTGGATTTCTCACAATTTCGATTTTGGTTTCTCACAATTTCAATTTTTAGATTCCTCACAATTTCAATTTTAGGTTTCTCACAATTTTAACTTTGGGTTTCTCACAATTCTAATTTTTAGATTCCTCACAATTCCAGTTTTGGATTCCTCACATTTCCTATTTTGGATTTCTCAAAATTTAAATTTTTGATTTCTCACAATTCTAATTTTTGGGTTCTCACAATTCCAATTCTAGATTTCTCACAATTCTAATTTTAGGTTTCTCACAATTTTAACTTTGGATTCCTCACAATTCCAATTCTAGATTTCTCACAATTCCAATTTTGGGTTTCTCACAATTTCAATTTTGGGTTTCTCACAATTTCAATTTTGGGTTCTCACAATTTCAATTTTGGGTTTCTCAAAAAACAAGAAAGGACAATGATCCCTCCACTCCCTCGCACCGATTCGATTCCAGAAAGGACATTCGTACTGGTAGCCCAGACGAAAAAGATAAGGGCTGACAGTATTCTACTGCTTGACTATCCTAACTTTTGTATTCTCTTACTAGCTAGTAGTAGGTTGCTTCATTTTCTATACATGCAAACAGACCACAGATTGTTCTAATAAACACGAGCACCAAGATCAAGCCAAAGAACGAGGAGCAAACCCGTACCATACAGCTATTGAACGTGCCAACGAGAAAGACTCACCTCTCTTGAAACCAACCTAATTTATTGTACTTGGTTCGTAGAGACTTTTCCTAAACTCTCTAGGAGTGAAATATGACTACTGAAGTCCTCTCCCATTTCAGCAACTATAGACGATTTGATTCTTTCCTACATGTACTCTCGTCTTTTGTATTGTTATTTACGTGGGTGGAATACTGGTAATTTCCATCATATCTTTCCACACGATGGAACCCGTCCAATCGGCGCTGGTGGTAGGTAACAAACGCATAGAAGTCATCTTGTACAAGCCAATGCCAAGCCACACCATATTCAACGCCACAAAAATCAACTTGGGGATCGAAACATCGGCATTTTGATCTTGCATGGGCCCAAAGGTTTTGTCCAAACTCAGTATGCTGTTGATGGGTCCCAAAATGGCCTGACTGGTGACACTAATGGAGAAAATATTCAACGTCTTGCCCGACATCCACAGCATAAAGGCATTCATGAGAATCTGTTGGCCTGGTTTGGTAGCAACTGACATGGCTTTGGATTGTAGTTTCGACTGCAAGGCTTTTTGTTGTTGACTGCTGGCCGCCATGGCTGAAGTACTATTACCGTCGGCACCGGCAGATCCAGAAGCCAGCATTTGCTTTTCTTGATGGGCCAAATTCTTGCGACCCAAGGGTCCCGGCGCCGTGGCAATTAAATGATAGCCGTCATTTTCTTCTTTGAGATTCAAATCAATCTTATAGTCGGGTCTGTAGGAACAGTCGGAATGAGCAAAAACGGCAGCAAACAATCAACTATTGAGGGGGATATTGACGCCAGTCGAAGCTAACGAAAGTAATCAAGCTGCGACGACAAAACTATGATCTCGTTCGGCTCCTATCACACATTATCTACTCACTTTCGGGGCATCTTTTGAAGTAGGGCACAGACAAAGTCCTAAATCCTGTCAATCGGGTAGTGCTGTTGTTACCGTAGTAGTGGTCGTCGACAGCAACCTCGTCGGTCTTCGTTTCCGACTGGTGGCGTCGTTTCGTTGCACATCCTTAACCCTCCAAGGAATCAACGCATCGTGGAGTCTTGGCGTGGAAGTTTACCAAAGCGGCTGCGAACTGCATCTATGCATACCGTACCTTCTAAAGAAGCTCCAGGTCATATCCAGTACGGTACCGGTACTACCTGAAAGAGAAAACCTAACCTGCTTGTGGCTTACTTTAGTCTATGCTGGCCGCGACCAGCATCCAGCACGGTCATGCGATTTTAGCAAAAAGTTCCAGCACGGTACCGGTATCGTACTACCTGAAAGAGTAAAACCTAACCTGAAGTAGTGGTGATAACAGGAGGGGAGTCCCCTGGTACCTTTGATATACTCATTGGCAATTGCTTGGTGTAACAGGTTGAGGGCTAGTTTCTGACGGGGCTTTTGGCTTCAAGGGCTACACACTGTCCGTGATAGAGAAACTAGACGTGCCCACCAAATCACTGAAGACAGAAGGAATTCAAGACTCTATCAGTGGTGTGCCACAGGACGACTCTAGCTTCTCCATCACCTCTCCCTTGAACCACCTCAGAACCAACCCAATCCGTCTTTTCAAAGACACCATTAGAACATGGCCTTAGCGTGCAATACCCCAAGGAAGGCCTTAGCGTGCACTCCCACAGAAACCACCATTGAATGGAACACCTTTAGGGGCCTTAGTGAGCCCATAACCCTTCTACTCGAACAGGGGGCCAGTAGTGCCCCCTGTCATTCGGAGTGAAGTAAAAGCAAGCCTTCGGCGCAGTAGAAAAAAATAACATCTACTAATCATTGTGACCAACCAACCAAAGAGTAAAACCTAACCTGCTTGTGGCTTACAGTACTGCAAGTTTGGAAATAACCAAGAGGTTTGCCAGATAACATCTGCTCAAACTGCTATATTACATACTTGGCGGGCCATGAGAAGAAGAACACTTGTAGTATTTTAGTGCGTTTCAACCAATCCAAACCGCTTCACCAAAAGCGAGTTGAGTTCTCACGTTTTTAACCCCCAAATCACCATCCCTCAAATCTCACAACAGCATCCAAGATCATCCACCCCAATGGACACCAACCCCTCTGCCAAGTCTTTCTCTCTCAATCTTCGTTGCCTATTAGCCCAGCTCACCAGGCTTGGCTCTGAAAGTGACAATCTCTACATCTCCAAAGATGGACCCTGCGGAGAAAGAAGAAAGTGACACATGATAGTCAGATATCATTGAAGGGGATAATCCTATTTTGATGAATTGCAGCAAAGTTCACGTACCCATTGGTTCTGCGTTCCAAACATAATTTGTGATGTAGTCCTGGTAGTCCGCTGCTGTTGCTTGCATTACACCAAATAAGTCGTTTTTTGTGGGATTCGCGGTAATGTTGGGGAAGAACGTTACAATGGCATTAACATCCATGAGAAAAGGGTCGTCGGCCCCAAGAGTAAATACCGCTTCGTTCACTGCGGATAAACGGATACAGAGTGAGGATTGATCAGAGCGTAATCGACCATTGGCACTTGCAGTAGCAGAAAACGTACGTGTCATGTCGAACATGTGATACACATCGCCATATTCCTGTCGAAACAGCTTGTCGTAAAATGGAATTGTCTCTACGATTAGACCATCAATCTCTTCTTGTGTTGGTTCTCTCGTTGGTTCTGAATCCCCAAACCAGCCTGAAAGAAAGTGTGGGAAAGATCAGTACAAAGGTGAGGAATCTCAAGAAGAGTAGAAAAACGGCAAGAACAAACTTCTATGCTGGTATCAATGGCAATCCCCACATCCCCACTCACCATATGACAACGTTGAAACTAAGATTCTCTCAAGAACGATAGGAGTGACCGTCGGTGAGTTGGTTGGAGAAAGCGTTGGAGAGGTCGTGGGGGCGGCGGTTGCTCCCGTAGGTGCACTGGTGCCAGCAGTCGGAGAAAGTGTCGGGGTCCCTGTCGGGGTCCCTGTTGGGGTCCCGGTTGGGGTCCCTGTGGGAGCCATCGTCGCTACAGTTGGAGGAAGAGTTGGAGTCGCCGTTGTTTCTGCCACAGTAGGAGTCGCCGTGCCTCCTGTTGGAGCAAGTGTTGGAGTACCTGTTGGCGCCATGGTGGTTTGAGCAACCGAAGGAGGCGCAGTTGGGGTTGCTGTAGTTTCTGCCGCAGTAGGATTCGCCGTGCCTGCTGTTGGACTAAGAGTAGGCGTTGTGGTTGGCATCAGAGTGGGGGACACAGTGGGTGCAACTGTGGCTGCTGTGGGAGAACTTGTGATAGCTACTGGTGGTTCTGTTGCAGGAATACTTGGCATGGACGTGGGTGATGCAGTTGCAGGGATCGTTGGCGAAACTGACAGCGTTGGAACATTAGTAATCATCATAGAGGGCCTCTTTGTCAGTCCTTGGGTGGGGGAAATTGTAGGCTTGCTGATAGTGTCAGGGATGCCGCTGAATGCGGGAAATGCTCCGAAGTAGCAATCAAAATCCATCAAATCTATTCTGGGTGCTTCAGTTTCCTGTTGCCGTGCTCGGTAAGCCCCTGGTCGCCTTCGTTTCACTGCTCTCCGCTTTCTGCCGACATCTCTGAAATATTGTGCTTCGGACAAGAAGCCTGAGCCTCTATTTTGATTCCAGCGATCGGTTTCCGGCGCGTCGTTGTAACCATAGTAGTCGTGATTGTACTTGTACTTGTGGTATGCACCTTTCCCTGCTTTGCTCTTTTTGGATTTGCTCGAACTCCTGCTTTTGCTTTTGCTCTTACTCTTACTTTTGTGTCCATTGCCCTTGCCTTTGCCTTTTCCCTTGAATTTGCCTTGTCTACCTTTGTATACTGAGTATTCGTAGTCGTTGTTGTAAGGATCATCATTGTATTCATAAATGTCCTGATAGTCGTAGTTGTACAGGTAAGATCCGGTTGCTTTGTTTGCTGTCTTCCCTTTCTTCGGCTCAGTAGTGGATGCAGCTGTATTTAAAGTTGTCCCCGACCCCTGCTTTGGTATACACGTGACCGGGAAGCCTCCTTGATGGAACCGATTCAGCCCCCCGCCATGAGAACTGTAGTACTCATACGACCACAAACTGTCAATGGATTCGTCCAAGGATTCGTGATCGTCATCCCACTTGAAGCCGGCAGAGTATTCTGCGTAAGTATTGAAGCCACTAGAGAGGAAACCACCTTTCCCTTTTCCCTTCGAGTTACTCCTTGCAGCGATATCTGCTTGATGGTTTCTCGCTCTGGCATAGAAGAAAGGAAGTGGTCTTTGGTCGCTCTCAGCTGCTTGTGCATTCACAACAATCCATTGGAAACTCCAGAACAAGGTTACGGTACTGACAAGAGCAAGCGCTCTCATCCCCAGCTTCATGGTGTTTGTTGTAGACTTCTTAGTATCGGACCCGCAGTAACTTTGCTTCATGTGCCTTGCAGCCAGTAATATTGCTGTTGTGGCTACCAGCACTGGTCACCAACAAACGGATCGGATGGTGGAGGCAACTATCCTTGCAGTGTGAAGCCCACAGGATCCACCGGAACTGCTCCTCTAATGGATTCATTCGTTTTAACATTGTCCATTTTCCAATTAGGTCAAAAGAATTTGAGCCGGACAATTTTGGTTTCCTCCAAAAATTCGGGTCGAGGCTTGGGCTCTCTAGGGGGCAAAAGCTTCGTTTCGACTTTTCCTGCGCACATGCCAGTCACATTTCATTCCCAGTTCAATTTCCCCCAGGGTGTGAACAGCTTTGGGAATTTTGAAAAGTCCTGAGAGAGCGGCTCTCTCATACAGTACTTTAAAAATCGTAGAGTAAAGTTTAGTTTAACCCCTATACAGGTATAACTACCCCAACCACCGGTACCTCTCCAAATCTGTCTTCCTGAACCAAGAGGACGATCGCGTTGCTGGCTCTGGCTAGTGGAGCTGCGGCAGCCAGCCGCGGAACCTGATTTCATGAAGTCAGCATTCAAGATCCGGAGGACGTGGCAAACTTATCTCCACCTTTCTCTCTGGTTATTGGTGTGAGCTGTAACCAAGCCGATTGAACCGAACAGTACCGACTCATGTGTTGTGTATTGTATCTAATGGGAAGGCGGTTGATGGCGAGCTGTTTTGTTCGTAATGATTTCAGCGCAGCCCAATGCGAGCAGCATACTCTACATTGCTCGTTTCGAAGAAAAGGTTTTGCTCACGTGGCTCTGCTTCCCATGCATACATCATTATGTAAACATCATATTCGGCGCTTTGCAGTACGGTCAACATTTCCTGCGTAGTGGGAATTGTTGTGCCTTCTGTGAAGAATCCATAAGCATCGAAGTCGATCTCTACTGGAAACAACGCATTGGCATCGTATCGGTATGTTATTACTTCGATTGCGGAGCAAGAAAGTGCAACGTGAGACCAACGTTAATTAGGCGAAATCATTCATTTTTACAAGGTGCAAAGGCCACATGCTTACGATCGGATTGAAAATCTACCAAGTTGTCAAAAGCTCGCATGAATGTCCCCAAATAGAATGCATTTGTTTGCACCATAAGTGCGTCGACTTCCGCCTGGGTAGGCTCCCTAAGCATTGCTTCATCAAAGAATTGATACCGCAAGGTACTGTCAACAACTTGACCTTCGGTGCCAGCAGGCGGAGTAAGACCCATTGTCTGCGTTGGAGCCAAAGCGACTCCTGTGGGGGCAATTGTTGTCATCACTACAGTTGGAGCGGGTGCAGAAGCTACAGTAGGAGGTGCCGTGGTTGCTGCTGCAGAAGGTGAAGTCGTGGGATTGGCGGTGGTCACAATCATGGCATTCGTGGGCGCAGTTGTACTTGAAGTGGGCAACAGGGTTGTTGCCGTGGGAGGATTTGTGCTAGCGGGTGAGGGGGCTGCTGTCTGCATTGTACCTGTAGATGGAGCACCTGGACTTGAGGAAGGGACAGCTGTTGGCGCGGAGATGCCTCCTGGTATTGTAGGGTTCATTGTCTGTGCTTGAGCACTTGATGGTGGGGTTGCTGCTGTAGATGGGGCCGTAGCAGTTTGGCTAGATGGGGCCGTGGCAGTTTGGCTAGTGGGTGCAACGGTTTGTTGCTGTGTCGGCTGCACAGTAGTGGAAGCTGATGTGGGTGAGGTAGTTTGTCCGTCCGCAGCTGTCATCGGTGTAGGAGCTACGGTTACTCCTCCTGGTGTAGACGTCATTGTCGCGGAGGTGGGGAACTGAGCTGTCGTCATTGGTGAAGGTCCCATTGTGGCGGCTGAAGGCGATGGTGCAGTTGTTCCGGTGGTTGTCGTTGGTGCAGTAGTTCCAGGGGTTGTCGTTGGTGCGGTAGTCCCAGGGATTGTCGTTGGTGCAGTGGTTCCAGGTATGTTCGTCGGGGCGGATGTCATCGTAACGGAGGTGGGCAATTGAGGTGATACTGTACCGGATGCAGACGGAGCACCTGGAGGTGAAGGTACATCTGTGATGTCTGGACCAGGTGAAACAGGAGCAGTTGCCATTGTTGGAACCATACTTGTCGGTGTAGACGGCGAAGACGGCGGGAATTCACCCTGCCCTCGCAGCACGTTCGTTTCTGGGAAAGCCCCAAAGTAGCATTGAACGTCTGGCAGTGCCTCTTGAACAAGATTACCCCTGAATCTACCTGGGCCGCTGAAAGCAACGGGCAGCGCCTGTAAATGGCGCCTTTGCCTCCGTAGGCTGTCAAAGAACCGCGACAGAAATCCAGAGGCTTGAGCACGGTTGTTGAGAGATTCTCCAGTCCCTGGAATGTCACAATGGACCGGCGCCCCCCCACCAAAAACTCCATTGGGCCAAATTCCAACATCCCCGATCCCTCCAATGGAATCTTCAAAGAAATCACCTATATCTCCTCGAAATCGTGCATTCGGAGCTTGGAGGACAATCGCAGTTCCTTGACGCCTTAACGGGCGTTGGTTGTTATCGCTGGTTGTCGTTGTTTGGGGTTGGCGCTGCGGTTGCGGAGGAGGTCTCTGATTAAGGCTGTCGTTTGCAGATTGCCGGTTTGGTGGCTGATGATTGCGATTTGGAGGTTGTTTATTATTGAGAGGTCGCTCTTGGTTGTCGGAGTCACTTGTTGGAGGTTGCCGATTGGCTAGTTCTTCTTCTGTACCGGTAACGCTTTCAAGTTCTTCTCCTCCGCCTTCTAAAGCTTCAAATTCGTCATCTAAAAAGGCAAGGCTCTTGTCATCGGTGAGAGATTCATCGTCGTCGTCGAACTTGTCGTCGTCAAATTTATCGTCATCGAATTGATCGTCCAAGGCAGGTAGGTTATCGTCTACAAGGTCATCATCGAAGTTATCATCGTCAAATTCATCATACGCAACTTGCTCTGGAAAGCTATCTTCTTCTGGGTATTGTGTCGATGCCTGTGACAAACCTATCCTTAAAGGTGGGTCGTCGATTGCGGCAGTTCTTGGTGGGCCTTCCCTCTGTGGCTTCCGTTCGGGTCTGCCTGGACTGTCTTGGTCTATGTCACGCAACAGAGCGGCCATTTGATCAGCCAATTTTAGAGCAGGTGCATTCTCATTGCTGACGCCATTGTCGTTCCCAGATTGTCGAGGGTTTCCTCTTTTGTTAGTAGTCCCTCGTTTCCCTCTCATCCCCATTCTCATTCCCATTCTTATTGTTCCATGATTGTTGCCTATCATCGGCTTTTGCTTCTGTGCCGGTGGCGGAGGCACATAGCCACGAATAGCCTTCTCTTGTTGTGGTCGAAGTGGAGGCCCGGAGTCTCTCAGGAAGAATCCCATTGATCCGAACCGAGCGTCTATTCCCGACGACGACGACGACGAATATCTTCCATTTCCGTTAGAGTTGGCATTGGTATTCGTACCCCGGCTGATGAAACCTCTCGGACTAGTACGGCCGTTCGTATCGGGCCTACCATTTGCGGCAAGACTGAGAAATCCCCTTCGCCTTCGCTGACTCTGGAGAGCTCTATCCGCACGTTCATCGTTTCTTAATGGTTGCTTCTGGGCAGCTGCAAGCGGATTCGGCAGGAGCAGCGATGCTACCAGGACGAAGGATAGCCTCCCTATTCCTCCACGTCTTCTTCTTCTCTTTGACATTGACATTCCCACGGATTATTGCATTGGTTTCGTTGCTCTCTCAGATCAACGGCATATACTTATCTTTGCATTCTCAGTAGCAACAGTCTTGTAGATCCCAAACAAACTCCCAACTTTCGGCGGTGAGAAATTTGGAACGATGGAAAGTCCCAGTCGTGTCGCAACGGCATGAAGTTCTTTCTCCTCTTTCTTGAGAAAGCTTGCACCGAAGGCCGATGCTCTTCGCTGAGTTGCTCGTTTCATGTCCTTTTCGCGACGCGAAACATCAGTTCTGGTACCGGTACTCTTGGAAACTCTCGCTTTTACTGTTCTTGTGGCGCCTCATCCGCACCCCTGCTTGTTTTGTGGCCACCCTTGTACCACGGTACCGGTACCGGTACCGGTACCGGTACCGTTACGCCTAGCGAGCGATCGCGAGGAGATGGCAGTTCAATGAACACAGCACCCTTTGGAGTTGACAGACAGTGGCTGGTGACGACTTGTCCACCATACTACAGATACTTATCATTTGAACTATCTAGCTCTTATGAGAGTATCAAGCAGGGGTGCTATCACAAACAGTTATCCACTTCCTTCGCGCATAGTTAGCTTGTTGATCCATGCGGTACTACCGTAGTGGACAAGAGCACTATCTGTGAAAACATACAGCTTCGTTATTCATTATAAAAACCACAAGAAATGAGTAGTTTGCCCCGAATAGGTTCCATCCATCCAAATAGCGGCCAGTCAACCCGATAATACCTTTTGTCCACTATGCTGGCGAGGTGGATGCTGTAAAGTCTACCTGCATCACAGCATCCAGTTGGTTCACAGGATCTCGTCGCAAATAATCGTTGATGAATGCTCTGTAATCAAGACCCTGCATCTTTGTCAAAATGTCGTTGGCAGTGATCGTGGTTCCCATGGCGAAGGAAAAGTTGGCATCAAAGTCCATCATGACATGAGGGTTTCCAGCTTCGTTATACATCATAGTGGTGATCACAGTGTTGTACGATACAAAATCAGTGGCGAACATCGGATCATTTTGGAATTCAGTTGTATAGAATTCGTCCATCAGGGTCGTTAGCTCTGCATACTCTTCAGCTGTTAGATCTCTCACCACATCGGTGGCCATATCAGTGAAATAGGTCAAAGCAAAGGTAGCCATGATCACAAAGTCTTGCGTTGGGGTAGTTGTGGGTCCGGGTGATGCTCCAGGTGCGACTGTTGTTCCAGGTGCCAAAGTAGGATTTGGTGTGGCGGGGCCGGCTGTTGTAGGACTAGGTGTGACAACAGGAGCTGCGGTCGTAGGCGATGCTGTGGGCCCTTGCGGTGACGGAGCTGATGAAGGAGGCGACGTCCTGGGGCGAATTGTGCTAGCTCGAAATCCTGGAGGGAATCGATTACCTCCAGGGCGGGCCCGTGGTGGCCTCCCTCGTGGTCTATTGATTCGACCAATTCCGGTTCCACGATAGGCTGGTGTGACGGCCACTGTCCCGACGGAAACCACACGAACAGGAACAACTGCTCCGCCATCACCGCGACCCACTTGTCCCGCATCAACCACATCCACAGCTTGAACGGCTCCACGGAATCGAGAACGCCTTCCGCGTCTGTTGCGCCTGTAATACAAGTCATCATCGTATCCCGAGTAGGATCGGCTACCACCACCTTTACCTTTGCCTTTGCCTTTTCCATGGCTTCTTCGTCCGCGATTGCCTCCTCCTCCCCCTCCACCGCCACCACCTCCACCAACGACATAGTAAACGTCACCATCACCGCGAGCTGCGTTCACATACAAAGTATTGCCTCTCCCTCTATTTCCGTTCCTCCTCCTCCTCCGTCGACGGTGGAGTTCCCGTTCTCCTTGATCGCTATTCATGTGGCGAAGGCCCCGCATTTGTTGATAATCGAAATCCATCGAGCCATTGTCCTTTTGCATTTGGCCGTCGTTAGCAATCGTCATGGTTCGCTCCGAATGTCGTTCCCTTCCAGATGCAATGCTCATTTGACAAACAAGCATGAGCAGCAACAGAGCTGCTCGTGCTATTCTTGCCACTCGGCAGATCATCATTGCTTGTTCAGTTTGCTCTTCTTATTCCTTGTCGTATTGCTGCTGAGCGTTCAGTTGTTGTTTTTCTTCTGTAGCGGCGTGTCGCTCGCCTCCATGGGCTACGTTATTGAACTTGAGTTGTGGTGATTTGACAAGATGAGCATCACCTTTTCTAGAATCATTGCCATCTTTTCTTCTCCAGTTTTGGCATTCGCCTTCGTCTCTCAAGGTATTTTTGGTGGTCTCCTCATCAAGTTTGTGAAGCGAGCGACGAAGCTGGCCAGTCACACACCAAGAAAGCAGAAATTCGAAAGAATGCCAGTCGTAGTCTACTAGCACTAGCTAGCTACCCAGTAAAATTGCTCACAGTACGATACCGGTACGGCCAGGAGTGCGTGCGTGGCGGACCGACCCCGCGACTCGACTCACTCTGGAACGAGCGCCGACAAGCGGCGCTCGCCTAGAGCAGCACTGCACGACTAGTTGAGTAGAGTTGGGGTGGTGGAGAGACTCGGCCATTTATGAGCCGACCGTCTCCGTACCCAGGGGTGCCGCTCGTGATTGCTAGAATCGAGCGGGAACCAAGGCACGAATGAGGCAGTCCCGCGGGATGTGAGTCCCGCGTGATTGTACGACATTCGGCCAACCCAGGGAGGGAGAGGTGGGTTAATCTATTCTAGTTCTTGCTTGCAGCTCGGCTGAAGGAAGAATTGTGAGCAGAGAAGGAGACAACTTTCTTGCGATCGACTGTTCAATGGCTGAAAGAGAGAGTTGGACCGGTCTTGCAGTTTGTGTTCATTCAAGGTTGCTATCTGTGAGCGGTCTTCGAGGGGTGTTATTGCCTTAGGCGATTTGCGAAGGAGGCAGACATAGCGACATGTATGTGGGGTATCCATTTCAGGAACGCAGGTGATGACCTGAGAGATGTAGAGATGTACTTGATGTGTAGGAGCGAAGTGTGGGAATCGATTTTGTGTGTTTTGTGAGATGGTACGGTTTGGCAACTGTGAGTTGAGTCATTCGTCGAAGAACCCATGAGGGTTCAGGTTTGCGTGGAAGGATAGGGATCAGGATCGTTGTCCTCTTTTGCGTGCGGCTGCTCGACAAGTTTCGACATCGACAAGCTCCTCCCTCCAAAGCTGCTTCCCCAAGGTTTCTACAATGATAGCAGGGCATATTTGCTTCTTGATAATGACCTTCGATCCTTTCGAAAAGCGCGGTCGTTTTTGGGTGCGAAGGATCGTCGCCATCGTGAGTGGCTGTTGCTGGAGTGAGCGAGGAAGAGTGAGTTGCTCTGGATTGGTTCCACCGAAACATCAGATCAAATCGCGGACGCACTCCAATCCATACGCAAGGAAAAAGGGAGCAAGCATATCAACAAACTCCAGATATGAAAACTCTATAACCCACCATGCTCTGGCAAACACAGGAGCAACGATTGTGGAGCTTGTTCCAATCCGTCTTGGACGCATGTTTGGGGTGGGAGTTGCATCCGACACGTCAACTGGCACAAAGAGATTTAAAGATACTGGATTAAAATAGGGTTAAAGTTTGTAATTCAACGTTCAGAAATCAAGGAAAACGACTGAAAGGGGGGAATTGATCGCGTCAGTCACATGATAAAGCACACACCGCAAATAAAGAACACGTCGACAGTGCAGTGCCATTACTCTCGATTGATCCTCCAACAAGGAAAGAGCAAGATGGCAAGTTTCACTTGCGTCCATAGCGGCGATTGTTGCATCCCTGACGCGTGCTACGGCGAGTGGGAGGAGGAGGTGAGGCAATGGCAAAGGCGTCCTGAGAAAACCCACCCACAGCATCGTAATCATTGCTGGAATCAGAATCGGACCCATCGAGAAGGCTGACTTCCTGCTGTTTTCCTTCCACGAAAGCAACCAACTAATCATCCGCTTCAGACTGATCTTCTTCGGACTCTTCAGATGCCTCCTCTTCAGACTCTTCCTCCTCCCTGCGGCGCCTGGTAGCTGCCGCCTCCTCCTCGCGCTTGAAGTGGGCCCGGATGCGATGATCGGTGGTGGTGTCAGAGTCTTCGGCTGACGTGTTGGTCAAATCAAGGGCAGCAGCAGACGTACGACCGGTCGGATCATCAGTCGAGTGGGCATGATCCTCAGCAGCGCTTTGGGTCTCAAGGATGAAAGCTCCGTTTGTTCCACGGTGGATGGAGACGAGGATTGGCTTATTGTTGTCATCGACGGCCATGGCGCTGAATTCGAGGGCCGCGACATTGGAAAAAGGGAGCTCACGGAAGGTAAGACGCATGATGTTTGTTGGGTTTTGGCTCTGGCTGATTGCTGGATTGTGATGGAAGCAAATGCGTGTCTGTTGATTGTCGAGCTAATAATTGACTCCGTCTGGAAATTTCTTTCTATTACCGCGGCTTTCATGTGAACCAACCCGACGCGACGCACAAACAAGACCACTTTGATCAGATTTGAAGAGGCATTGGATGGTTCAAACGTTTACGGAAGGAGTTGGCGGGCAAGTACTCCCTCGCTTTGCCGGCCTCGTGCTTCCAATCCAGATCCCTCCTCTGGCTCACTTTATCTCACCCTGCCTTGGCTTGCCGCTCTCTCTCTCTCTCTTCGTCTTTTTCATCAGGATGTCTGCCTTTGACCGAATCAACAACATCATCATGACTGTCAAAGATTGGTCGAGCTTGACTGTCTTTGCTCTCTACGGATGGGCCAAGAGTTTCCTTCTTGCTGTGGTCTCAGTCGTCCACACGTCTTGTGGCTGGGTGATGGACTCTCGTGTGCAATGGAAGACTCTTTTTCACACGGGTAATGACGCAGCTTGTGTCGTCAGGGCTACTACCTCATTTGGTTTTGACAGCAGAGTGTAAGTCTCCTTCGGATCCAACAGTATGGCAGTCACAGTCTCTATCGCGTCTTGTTGGAAGGTGGTGCAATACACGGCTCTTAGCCTTATTCGCGACTCGATCCTAGATAGGGTTTGAGTTCGACTCA